GTTATTTACGTTTGGGGAAGAAAATTCTTGAAATAAAAGTTACTTCTTATATTATTATCTATAATTTTTGTTCTATACAAAATTTTCCTAAAATGGTCCGTATTCGAGAAATTTGACAAAATGTAAAAAAATATTTTTTTTATAAAATTTGTTCAAATAAAAGTTGTTTGTAATATAATTCTCTATAATTTTTATCCCATACATAATTTCTCTAAAATAGACCGTATTCGAGATATTTGAGAAAATGTGTAAAAAAACTCAGAAACGGATAAAGAAAAAAACATTAAATTTTAAACTTAAGTTTTATTTCGGCCTGACGTTAAATGATTAGATTTTGGACAAAGTCGGAACATTTGGGGGGGTACTTTATGGGAGGCCGCTTTTATATTTTATGGAATATATCTGTTATTTATGTTTGGAGAAAAAAATTGTTCAAATAAAAGTTATTTATAATATTATTATCTATAATTTTTGTTTTGTATCAAAATTTCCTGAAATGGTCCGTATTCGAGAAATTTGACAAAATGTGCAAAATTCTGATTTTTATAAGAATTGTTGAACTAAAAGTTGTTTGCGATATCGATCTCTATAATTTTTGTTTATATATGATTTTTCTAAAATGGACCGTAATGGAAAAATTTTAGGAAACGTGCTAAATTTAAATTTTTCAGTATTTTCGTTTTCAATATAGATAAATGTTTCGAGGTAGATGTGGAAAATGTATATATTTAGTTTATCCTCTAAACATTTATAGAGGTGCTGCAATAGGTTGTACAAAATAAACGGAAAAAGCCTATAATAACTAGATAGGAAAGTCATGTGTTGGACACATCAGATTTTTTCTATTAACATTGTCACATGATGTATTGATTTAATTTTATGTTTATAAAAAAATATAAGTAGTAAAAAAAGATTAAAAATAACATTTTTCATAAAATTAACGTAAAATTTTAAAAATCGGCCAAAGGACAAAAAAGTTCTGTATATAAGGGAGGGATTACCGCAAAACAACCCCTTAAAATATTTCAATTAATTCTTACTCACCCCCAAATTAAGACTCATGAAGCGCCTAAACAATTTACTAAATATAAATTTTTAAGTTAAACGGTTGCAGTTGCAGAGATATAATTTTTTTCGAAATTTATGGCCCCACTTTAGGCTTCCGTAAATCCTTAGGGGTACAACTTGGTATAGATGTAAATTGCGTTATGTCATCATATTTTGGGGTGCCCAACACGCACCTGTTCTTTGTCGGTACTTATACGGAACACCCTGTATATCCAGACTGGCTTTATGATTTGTTTATTGGACACATACAACTTGGAATTTTTTCCTAGGGGCCAATACATTTTTTTTAAATTAAGATCAAGTTATTGCGTCTTTTTTATGTGCTCTTGCAATTTAAGTCATATATCTAGGTTGATCCCTAGGCATTTGGTCGAATTTTAATGCGAAATACCAGCAGTTTTTAATTGGTTTTGTTCATTTTAACAAAGGGTAAAATGAAAATGCACTGATTTAGTTCGATTTATTTTACTTTCCACTTTTTTATCCACCAATTGATTCTGTTACAGGTTTCCTGGAGTTTTTCTGACTTCTCTGTATTATTTCGGCCAACTGCCTAATTGCAGTGTCATCCGCAAATGTTGCTAAACACATTATTGTTGAGGGATATCTGATGTATAATAAGTAAATTACCAGTCCTAGAACACTGCTCTGCAATACACCTGCTTTAATTTCTTTCATTTCGGAGTATGCCTCCTCTTGTTGCATTCTAAGAATGTCGACATATTGTCTAAGGGGCATTTTTTCAAGTTTCTGTAACAAGCCAGCACCCCAAACCTTGGACCACCACAAAGACTATAGCTAAACACATACATTTTTCTCCCTGTGATTTTTCGATGGATTTGGCTATCCTGTTTACTTGATCTATTGCCGAGTATTTGTTTCTAAAATCAAATTGGTGCGAAGGGATCAGGTTTTTATTTTCAATTGTGTTGCAATAATATTGGTCTATATGATGACCCTTCATCCGAAGGATTTTAAATCTTAGGAATCTGGTATATATTTAAGCCAAATTTCTGCATTTTTATGAGATATATCAATTTAACGATAGCATTTATTGGTAGTTTTTTTAATATTTATCCAATATCAAGGTATTATCCTGAGATCTGGGTTGATGTTTGTCTGAATTTCTTTTGCAACTTCATTAGAAGTAACTAGCCTAATTTCAATTTATTCCTTATGTCGATCTTTTCGTTAAGAGTCTCTTGATGAAAATATCAGCTTTCTGTTGATTGCATCTTGCACATTTGGTATCTGCTATTCTGATAGGAGGACAGTGGTTGCATGTATTTATTTATCTTTTTGGTTGCCTTCCGGAGCAAATAACTAGTTTCTTTGTTATCTCTTTGTCCCACTAGGTATCTGTTGAGGGTTTTTGGTTTGTGATTTAGGATTTTTTTTCGGACGTTGAGTAGCCTTATTTAATATATTTTTATCTTCTGGTGATCTTATCATCTTTATTTATTACTTAGTTTTCTCTTTTCTGCTACTAGATCTTTTATCTCGACAGGGTAGTTATCTTAAATTTGGTATGTCCTTTTATAAGGTTTCATCTTGATCTAGCTGATTTTTCGTTCTTTTTCCCTATAAACTAATTAATTATTGAATTAATACCATGTGATCTGGTAAAATAGATAATTTCATAAAAATTGCTGTTTTATCTGTTTAGATCTTAAGTATCAGTTCTGTCAAATAGGTCAGTAGCATTGTTTTAGGGTTTTTTATCTTTATCGGTTGTAAGCAGGTAGGGTTAGGTTTGGCCCAGAACACTGCCTCTTAGGTCTATTGTATTCTCCTGCTTTTCTCGTATTCAGGTACTATCTTTGGAATAGTCCTGTGTCTTTGGTTAGTTTTAATAGATTCCCAACCAAGTGTTCCTGGAGCGTTCTTTCCGGTTCTAGGCCGAAAAAGATGAAACGTCGCCTAGAAAGAGCTTCGCATTCAAAGATCACATAGTACGAGGTTTCTTCCTCTTCCATGCAGAGTCTACACGTAGTGGGATCATTGTGTAATCCCATCACATGAAGGTGTTTCAGCAAGCAGTGCCCCGTTAGTAATCCCACAATAGTGGATATCTGAGGCCTTCCGTGTTGTAGTGCCTCAGTAGCCATGCGTGGGTTTGGTCCCCTTAGCATGAGCTTACTGATTCTGTGCCCTCTTATCTGTTGCCAGTGATGTTGTTGTTTTGTGGTTATCCACCTGTTCACTGCCTGTCGAGCAGAGGTTTTGCTTATCCCAAATACAGGTTCGGGTCCTGTGAATGGTAGATCTGATCCCTCTTTGGCAAGTTCATCAGCCTTTTAATTTCCTTGGACACCTTTGTGTCTTGGTACCCACGCTAGTTTTACCTTGTTGTCGGTTGCCAGATCATTTAGTATTCCAAGGCAGTTCCAAACAAGCTTTGACTTGATTCTGTTTGAATCAAGAGCCTTTAAGGCTGCTTGGCTATCTGAGAGAATTAGGATGGTTTGTTTTTGCACTTTCTTCTTAAATTCTCTCGTACACATAATTCGATTGTATGTATTTCAGCCTGAAATACAGTGGCATGTTTTCCCAGTGAGACGATGATGTCGCATTTGGGTTTAACTCCATGTACGCCAGAACCTGTTCCCTTGTTAGTTTTAGATCCATCCGTATACCATACGAGACCGCTAAGCAAGTATTTATCTATCTCCTTATTTACCTCGTTCCAGTTACAGTTGACCTGGAAGAGTCTGTTAAAGGTTAGGAGGGGTGTCATGTGATCTGATCCCATATTTAATATAGAATCATTTACCTCATGTATTATTCTGGTATGTTTTATATGTCCCAGTGGGTTCCAGTTGTTGGAGATTTCCATTCTGTATTCACTCATTCTGGCCTCCCCCTTTAGTACTAGGTCAAGGGGTGGGAGGTTTAGAATGATTTCCATAGAGGCTTTCGGTGTACTTCTCAGTGCTCCTGTAATACAAAGGCATGCCAGCCTCTGTACTCCTGAGAGGGTATTGAGAGCTGTTTTCTGGTTTACTTTTGGCCACCAAACAACCGCTCCATAAGTTATCATGGGTCTTGTTATTGCCAAATATAGCCAGTGGACCATTTTTGGTTTTAATCCCCATGTTTTTCCAAATATGAGAGACATTTTACATTTGTTGGTCACTTTTTGTAAGTGTTGGTTCCAAGTAAGTTTGCTATCTAGGATCAGACCCAGATATTTTACTTGGTTCGTTTTGTTTAGCCTTTCTCCAAACAGAGTCGGAGTTTCTTAAACCTCCAACCTTGTTTTGTAAAGGTTATGAGTTGTGCCTTGTCAGGGTTTACCAAGAGGTTTTCCCTAACGCACCACATTTCTGTCAGCCTAAGAGCTCTTTATTGAAATTGCTAGTTTATCTGTTTAGATCTTAAGTATCAGTTCTGTCAAATAGGTCAGTAGCATTGTTTTAGGATTACTATGTACTGAAGTTGTTGTTATTATTACTTTTATTTGATCAATTTGAAAATATTAAAAATCGTACATAGGATATAAATGATTATTCAAAACATTTTCATGAACTTTAAGTATAGGAAAAATTGTTTGACGATATAATATATAAAAGCTATCGATTAATTACGTACTGATGGGACCCCCTGTATCTACGAATATATGTATAATAGAAATAGGTTAAGACTTGTTGGTATCGTAGGATATAGTCAGAGAGTTTATATTATTATAATTATTATTTATTTTATACATACTAAATATCTTCCCGTTATAATATTTTTCGTTTGTGTTCACGATATGCATCATCATTATTTTTAAACAATAACTCACATATTCTTTTATTAATTTAAGTGCCTAGAAGAAAACCTTATATAATTAAATTTTATGTCTAAGATACGAGTACTTATGTGATCCTTGTAGTAGATGTTGTTGAATGGTTTGTTGTCCAAAAATTAATTGTGTCTTTTGTTAGTAGCGCTCTCCGCCATCCCGAAGATAGTGTGCGAAACCATCCATGCATTAGATCTGCACGATGAGACTCCTTCGTGGAAGATTATGGACAACAAAGGGCGGGTCACCGTCGTACTGCACTGGGACCAACGCTCCGGTCCCTCACGACTATCGTCGGAGGCCCCATCACCGGCACCCGGTAAGTTTTCACCCAGTAAGCGACCGTCACTGGTTATCGGGCCAGGAGGCAAAAAGGAAACCACCATCAACGACGTGTACGTCCCCGCTCCCGCCCAATCCCAACCGCGATACTCCAGCCCCCAGATCACTGTGATAAACCACGACGATGTCAAACCTGTTCACAGGCTATCCAAGCAGAGTAGTTCGCTGGAAAGCGGCACGATCCACATACACACGCCCGAGTGCGCTCATCACGCTCATATGCCTCGAGCGGGTAGTCCTCAAAGCAACGGAGCAATTGAATGCGACTTCCACTGTTGTGCTCTACACGAAGAGGGTCGCAAGATTGCCGTACATAAGTCTGTGGCGACGTCTCCGATTCAAGATACACAACAGACGTCACCGCAGCCACCATCAAGACATGTGCGTTTTTTAGACGTTGAAGGTGGCGGTCGTAGCGGGCAGTCCGAACACGAGAGCTCTGAAAGCGAAACAGAGAACACCGTGATGGAGGACGAGGCCGTCACCTCAGAAAAGTTCCTGCTGCTAATCGACCAGCTGAGTGTCGATCAGAAGCGTCATTTGACCATCAAAGATATAGGGATCATTCTCGAAAGACTAAGTTCCAAGATTCTGGACGTCGAACGATTAGATAGAGAGAGTGAAAGCGAGGACTGTTACAATTGGACGATAAAAGCGACGATTCGGGGAGATGTACTTAGAGAGTTGGGGGTCATTTACAACGGAAATTATTACGCGATCTCGGAACACCCAGGGTACAAGGAGGAGAATGAAGGCGTCATAGAAGAGGCTGAAGAAGAGGAAGAAGAGGAAGATCGGCTGTGAGCTACTACTACTGCCATTTGTCAAAAAGCACAAAGCAGAACTAGGAATAAATAAGCAGATATGCCACATACACAACATATCCGATGTGACATGTTCGTATCTGTACTGACTCAATATTGTAATTGGTGATTGCAGCGCGCTCGTGTTGTGTATACCATCATCACAAAGACTATCTGAACTAAGAGACAATCGCATCGATACTACGATAAGCATCGTCATTCAATTTAAAATATAATTTCATGAACTAATAATTAATACATAATCAGATTAAAATTGGCATTTTTGAATAAACTTCATGAAACACTAATTTTAATAATTAAAGCAATTGAACTGAATAACGTTCGCAAAATCTGTTATCACATCTATCAGATAGTACTTTCATCATATTTTATATATCAGAAAAAACAACATTAAATACTTATAATGACTCATTATGCCTAAATTTAACTGAGTCAATGTTAATGTTCGGCCAGTTATAGATTTTCTTGTACTTCTTAAATTAGCTATTCGAATACGGCTAACACAATAGGGCCCATGTCTGTAACTACTTAAAATTAAGAACACATGTGTATACAGAGAAGTCGCCAAGGGCCCAGAAGAGTAAATTTTTAACAGTACTTTACACCCTAGCTAGATAGTTTACCGAACTTGACTTTCCTTCCAGTAGTACTAAAGAGGTACCCTATCCTACCGGATCCACCCGTCAAGCAATTTATTGGTTACACCAATTGATATAGACTAAGTTGGTGATAACGAAAATGCAACGGGCTGAGCCGTAACTTCCAAGATCTGCTTATATTTATCATATCTGGCTTGTACACTATTTCTGTACTCTCACTACTCACTATTTCTCTTTTCGTTATTGCTTAACTGCAGATACCCAATGAGTCTGATAAACTGAAGGATTCTTTATTTTTAAATTTGAAGTAGAAAACACAGAAAGCTGCTTACTGGACAAGCTATTATTGAACTAGAAAATATGCCAATGTTGATACATGACAGAACTAGTGGGCAACGAGTTGAAGTAGGTGTCACTCATACTTGAGTAGATAGGTGACATGATGCAACTGAAGAAATAAATTTAATTGGAGTGATGATTAACAATCTAAGTACGCAAACAACAGATTTAATACTTATGACAGAAAATATAGAAATCCAAAAACATACAGCATCATTACCATTAAACGGTTTCAATTCCTTGTAGGTTTAATATATAGATTATCACTCGTATTTATGGTTTTTTACAAATTTTTGCAATCTTCCATTATCTTCTCCACTCTGTTACTCCTAATCATTTTAAAGCCTCTTCTATGTCTTCTGAGTACCCAGTTTTGCTTTAATTATGAGTGTATTTGTCTATGAATTTGTTGTTCTCCCTATTTTAGTTGTTCTGTTTCTTCTTCCTACAATATACTGTATCTAATACTACAAAGGTCAGTCGAAGAACAAAGAAGTCCAAAAAGAAAAATAATATCCTTGTTGAAAGAACTGAGACAGTGGTTCGGTAAATGGACAACTGCACTATTTAGAGCGATGATGGAAACGAGGCACTTAAAGACGAGAATAAGATAAATATACAGGATGTAAATACTTTTAATGCACACTATTTTAATTTCGTAAACCACTGGAGTTACAGTCAATTAAATAATAAAAAGTTGTCAAATTATGATGCGACTTACTGTTGTTTTAATATTCAAGATAGCAAGTCCGATATTCAATATATTTGAGGAAAACTGACGTTTTTCTGTGGTACTTTTATTTTCAAAAATGGTATTAAGGTTTTTATTCAATTATAAATATAGCTTATGTTCCGGTAGTTAAATTTTCAATCCAACCTTTTAATAGTCTTAGTTGCATTGAACCAAAACAATTTAATAATAATACTACAAACATGTTTAAATATTACAAATTCTAATTCTGCATTAAGTGTTATATTAATAGATAGTTACCTGGTTTGATGATCGAGCAATCATTCTGGAAGATGTTTTCAATTCTTTTCTTATTTTTTCTACATTTTGAGAAATACCATTATTATTAAAAAGTTAAGTAACCCCTCAAAAAGTATTCTTTAGGATTCGGATCTGGAAATCGTAGATGCCAAGTAATTTTTCTGATAGGTTTTATTTAAATATTTCCGAATTATACCAGCATTATATGACATGCAACTCACAACCATCTAGGAATGCCGAAATAATAGTTCTACCATCTTGTTCGTATTATGCAACAAATTGTAAATTACAGTATTAAGTAATGTTAAAAAATTTAAAATTTTTTTGCAAAGAAAATAATCCTGTTTATCAAAATAATCCTAATTTTAAAGTATTAAAACGTCTAAAAATGTTAATGTATTTTACATGGGTGCATTAGGATGTGGGAGTGCTTTCAGAAATTGAAATAAAACACACAGATTTAAAATAATCTCGATAATGGCCTTTGAGACACATACACAAAATGTTGGATTAACAATTTACCTGTATAAACATAAGCTCTATATATATATATATAGTCAAATAAAACTCCTATAAATCAGACTTGCTATTTTTGAAAATAAAGGCATCAGAGCCAAACATACTTATAAAATCGACCTATTTAGTTTTCTTATATTCTTGAGAACCAGTCCTGATACTTTGAAGTTCAATACATTAGTATGTTAGGCTCGTATTTATAAACAGGTCTCAGATACCCTATTCTCGAACTCGTGAGACCACTTCTACACTCTCCTACTCGACGGCGAGTCGACTACTTTATCACCAGTGTTGCCAGACGACCAAAATCAAATTGTACCATGCTCTGGAAATGATCTTTCTTTTTTTCTCATAATTTTATCGTACGAAACTGACCTTACTAGTGTGACGTTATCGGAGGCTGGTTAATTTAAGAGTTTATGGGATTAGGGTTAGGGTAATTAGATAAAAATTTTATTGAACAAATAAATAAAAAAAAAAAATATAAAATGACCTGTTCTTGTTCAACTAAAGTTTCAAAAATAATTTATTTTTCTTGTAATCATATAATCCTTTCTGATTTTGATCTCCAAATTGTTTTTATCGACACATTTTAAAAGATGTCATGAATTTTATCATTATTTCATATGTAGGTTTAAAACTTACACATCCATTATCCAAAGAACCCCGCACGTATATCCTTATGTAAAGTGGAGACCGGTCAAATTTTCTGAAACTTTGGTATGTTACTGTACTTAAGCTAGTTACCAAAAGTGTAAATAGGCTCAACCTAATCGTATGACTAGTTTTCGATATACAGGGTGTTAAAGTTGAAAATTGCCTAGTTTTTCGAAATTTTATTTTCAAACTTACGAGCTAGATTGAATTTCTGCTGTATACACACACATTACTACATGTTTTAGTAATACATTAGTACATACAAAAATTATTTTGTGGTTCTCACTATAAAATACCCTGTATAAGAAATGTGTAGGTATTGTGCAATATGTGGTCGACAAAATACCATATACCAGATACATTTTCTCAAATAAAATTTCGATCTGGTAATATTCAGCTTGAGTAATACTAATTGTTCCAGCTTTATCTGAAAATATAGACACATTATTTTTAAAAAATAATATATTTTTATCATGTAAATTTCTTTAATAAATGCAGAAGAGGAATGGTGGTGCAATGATACATCCGACAACCGCGCCCTTTTAACTATTAACCGATACGAGACCTGAAGGGAATTAGGGGTTTTCTGACGCACTGAGTCACTGAAAGAATTTTATGGGAATTCCCTTACGTCTAACAAAAATATCTTAACGGGAAAAGTACTACCAGACAAAAGAGTTTAATATCTTTATAAATATATAAATAATTCACATTCAAAAATAAAAGTGAACAATAAAGAAAATTCATAATTAGCAAATACACCTACCTGAAAAGATAAATACAAAAAAATAATAAATTAAAAAACTCTTAATTCATTTTAAAATGATCAATATATTTCCTGGCGATAAAAAATACTTGCGATAATTTGCTTATACGATCAATTGCAGTTGACTTTAATTTAATTTAGACCCATCCAAGACACTTAGCATATAAGTAACTTCTATTTTTAGCTATAACTACTTAATTTTTAAACAACACCTTCAAAAAAACCATATTTTCAATTTAAAATGACCAATAAATCTATATAAATGATTATTTGTATTATATGGCGGTAAATTTGCTGGCGGTCAATTTTAGGCTATAAATTGCTTAGGCGATCAATTGCTATGGCGGTAACCTGCTAGCGGTCAATTGCTGGCGGTCAATTGCTGGCGGTCAATTGCGGGCGGTCAATTTTCCCAGACCCAGTTGGAGAATAGGCTCCCAGGTGAGTCCGATTCAGCTAAGTCGTCCTTGAACTAAAATCGAAGTTCGGTTATACTTCGTGAATTTAGAATGTACTTAAAAGTTACGAATTTGCTATTGTCCATCTTTAAATTCTAGTGCAACACCGGAACCACCTAGAACTCTAGAGAAGTTATAACTGAACTTCATTTTTCGTCAGCCAAGTCCGTCTCAGCTGAGATATGTTTAAAAATAGGAGCCTTAATCTAATGTTTTGGAAATTTTCTTCCAATTAAACTAACTTTGTAGCTCTAGTGGTTTACGAAATCACAACAATGTGCATTTAAATTGTATACACACTGTAAATACCTAATACAGGGTGAGTCTTGAATTAATACTTATTTTAACTGAATATAAAAGCCTTCTCAACGTCTTCTCGGTCTTCCTACATTTCCTCCACGATGTTTCTGCGAATCACCCATATCCCTAGCCCGTTCAGCCATATTAGTGAAACTTATGCGACTAGGATAAGCTCGCTAGGGAAAAAGTTCACTGTACACTGATTCAGCAGCTGCTCTTTGAAGACGCTCGCCTAAATAAACATTATATCATAATTTACTATATTGAACAATTTAAATTGACAACTTCAGATAAACTCGCTACTGAAATCACACGCAAAAATAGGTACAGAAAAACTGAACTTTACATCATTGGGTAATCACAGATGCATAAAGTTAAGCTGGCTTTGTTCGTCACAATCTCTAATCTACTCTGCTGGTTACCAAAAATAAACAAAATCAAAAATTACTTACAATCAGAAAAGTAAACTGAACAATGAAACTTTTAAGTAAATCTATAACTGGAACCAATATTTTAATCTACTAGCCAAACCGTACAAGCTAAAAACGCCATTTAGTTGTTTCATATTTTTTGTAATTATTTGTTAAGAAAGTATTTTATTTAAGAAAAGTAGTGGACTTTTATTATACCTAA